CTCCTCTGCGATCCACTCACCATTCTTCTCTGCCTTGTGCTTCGGAGGCTCGGGCTCAGGGAGACATGGGCAGGGCCCGTCACAGAGGGTGCTGAGGCTCTTGCCAGTGGAACAAGCGTGGAACTCCATCTTGCACTGCAGAGGAGAGAGAGGACAGGCCTTAGGGGAAGCCGGGCAAGTGCCCCCTGGGCTTCCTCAGGGAACAGCGTGCCCTCTGTGTGCACAGGGCAAGGACGGGGCGTGCGGAGCTGTCTTGGGTACAGTCGGAATTACAGCACACGGAATAAGACATGTTTCTCCAGGTGGACAGTCACATCTAAAACTGCTGCAGCAGCACAGGGAGGCTGGCTCAGTAAGGGCTAAACGCAACGTGACTGTTAATCAAGGTATTCGTCTGGAACCACATCTTGGAGTCCCACAGGCTCCACAAGACCACTCCCCCATCCCCCCAGCAGAGGCAGCTTCTCCACGTTTCCTTGTCCCGAGTGGAGCATGCCTGGTCCCTCTCAGCTGCCCCCATACTCCTTCTGGGGAGGAGAGTATCTACTTAGTTAACCGTTCAGTAACTATCTATTTCCTGTGGTATGTGTGAGGCCCAGCACTTCCCTTTGGAACCAGAGGAGTCAATGCTTTTGTTTAAACCATCCAAACCCAAGTCTGCACAGTCTTTCCCTGGAGGACACCTGTGGTTCCAACCAGCCCGAGACTGGCGGAAGCAGCCACCTGGTTCTCAGACTCACGATGGAAGCCCCAAAGCCACCCATCCACTTGCAGCCCTGCCTCTGTGACGACGGGCTACCCCCACCACTTTCTGCTGCTCTTTACTCCTGAGTCTCAACCGATTCAGAACACAGGCAGGAGAGAAGGGTGCTATTCACAGGGGCACAAGGCCTCCATAGGTAACAGCCTTTTTTATGCTGACATTACAGAATAAGAGACTGGGGCTTGGAGCTGAAATAACAGAAGATGCTGACAGGGGCGGAGCCAGGAGCCACAGGCTTGTCTGACCCATGTCACCACCTCCATCCTGTGATGGGCTTGAGGGAACAGACAGCGGGCTCAGCGCTCTGGGTCGCTATTGGCTGCATCTGAGCTGAGAGCTCACCCCCTTTTGACTGTAAAATCCTCAAGATCAAGGCCTGTGTGCAGTCAGTCTTCTGCAAAGGCCCTTGAGTTTGGGACCATGTTTCTCTGGTGGAGGTTCAGAGGAGGAGGAGGAGATAGGCGAATTTTACCCCCACGCAGCTCTTATCTGGTGCCATGGGGGATGGTTTAAAAGAAAGAAAAGAGGAGATACAGCCCTTGCCCTTGGAGAACACTAATGCATGGAAAAGGCCAGTAGCATTTGCAAAGCAGCACACATGAGTGCAGATGAATGCTGGCCCATTGTGAGAGGCCCAGCCAGTCCTCCCATACCAATTACCCAGCGAGGGAAAGGGCTCTCAGCCGCTTCTAAGTGTCCGGGAGTCGCTCTTGTGGAACTCCTGTCACCACAGCCGCTGCTGACCCGTGCGGGAGCAGCAGACAGGCCTCCAGGGCGCCGGCTCCCTCTTCATGCAGAACTCCCCTGCGTACCTGCCAGGTGTCTAGGATATGCCCAGTGTGCTCCTAGGAGATGCGGGGCTGGGTGAAGAAAGCCATGGCCCCGGCCTCACACATTAACTGACTTAATGAGGAAGCAAAAACCGGTGTTCTTCTGAAGCCATGTGGACGTGACCACGAGGGGAGGCAGGATGTGTGTCTATGGAGGGACGCAGCACAGAAGAGAGCCCCAGGGATGGGCATGAGACAGGCCAGTGAGCCAGGACAAGGTGGACAGGGAAGCTGAGACAGAGCTGAACAAGCTGGCAGACACTTTACAGCAGACACAGGCCACCTCCTAGAGCAGTGATGGAGAACCTTTTGAGCTCGGCGTGTCAGCATTTTGAAAAACCCTAACTTAACTCTGGTGCCATGTCACATATAGAAACTTTTTGATATTTGCAACCATAGTAAAACAAAGACTTATATTTTTGATATTTATTTTATATATTTAAATGCCATTTAACAAAGAAAAATCAACCAAAAAAAATGAGTTCGCGTGTCACCTCTGACACGCATGTCATAGGTTCGCCATCACTGTCCTAGAGAGAACATCTAGGCCTCAGTCGTAGTTCAGCTCCAGACCCAGAAAAGCAGCAAACCAGGTGGGTGACACCAGGACCAGCTGCAATGACTAAAGACCCCCTGCCCTGACCCTGATGCATCAGTAGAGACCATAGCCCTGAAAGAAGATGTCTGGAAAACTGATGAATATTCTGCTGAGACCCTCCCCTAAGATTCCCACCTTCACGAGAGATAAAAGCCTCAAAACAAAGACCCAGTACACAATCTCCCTCTGGGGAGCAGCCTACACCATTCCCTTTCCCTTCTTCTTCCCTCTCTTCTTCCCCCACAGCACGCATCCCCTAAACTCTAAGGGACCCCATGAGGCTTGCAACAAGGGGAGCAATGGGCAGCGGCAGCTTGTCCCAGACTAACCCCCTGAACCTGTCCCCAAGGCCCCCTTTTCTCTGACTTCCCAGGGAGCGAAGGCCCAGCCTAGGCTCTCCTGTTGCTTCTTCTGTGCTAAGCCCTTCCGCAGCTTTAATAAACATTCTCATAGCCCCCTGGGCTCAGGTGTGAGCTCTTTCCTACACAAAGTCCAGAACCCTGCCGGTTGGCCCTAGGCAGACCTGCTCAGGGTGAGGTCCCCTGTAAGGTGACAGGAACACCTGCAGACCGTCCAGGGGACAGAGGTAAGCAGAGGAACGCTGTCAGCGGCAAGTGCGTCTCCACTACAGGCTTCATTTCAGAGAGCACGGTGCATGCTCAGGTGCGGGGCGAGCGTGAAGACACTGGCCAGCCCCCTCTCCCTCCTCCCGTGGGCCCGCTCTCTGGAACAACCCTCCGTTTCAGACTGGCAGTTCTCAAACTATCTGTCAACAGCATCCGCAAAACTAATTTAGGGGGAACTGTGAAATTTTTTTATAAAAATTTATTTTATGAAGTCAAATGTAGTACATTTACTTACCATAAAGCCTTATCACACTGCCACTGTAACTGCCTGTTTCTATCTGTGATCGGCTGTAACACCTTCCCCAAGCGTCCTCCGGCTCCCTGGAAGAGGGGCCCACACACCCGCACCGCCCTGCTTACAGCACTCTGGGCTGTGAGCCTACCTCTTAGAGTCTGCCCTGAAGGTGGAAAAGCAAAACACAAACTACAAACTGACATTCTTGGGAACTGATGAGGGACACCCATAAGTCCTCACTGTAGAAAAAAACAAAATTTGGGGGATATAAAAAAAAAGAGGAGGAAATAGTATAAAATAGGTATTTTTTGGATTTGGAGTGGAGAGCCAGTCAATGACACAAAGCTCACAAGTGGCCAAAGCTAAGGCAGGCCTGCAGCTCCAGGGGCGGGGGACAGAGACCCAGGGCAATGAGTGGGTCCCGTCACAGGTCACTGCCGCCTGGGGGAGCCCTCCGCCCTCAGGGTCTGAGCAGCCAGGAATCAGCCCTGCTCTGGCCTCCACTCTCCCTCCAGAGGGAAAGCTCTGCACCTTGCCATAGGGGTGAAATTGCATGTCTCATAAAAGATATTTTGAAGTCCTAACACCCAGTATTGCAGAATGTGGATTCAGAAATAGAGTCTTTATAAAGACAATGATCCTATATAATAAAACCCTAATATGCAAATCGATCAAACGGTGGAATGACTGGTCGCTATAACGTGCACTTCCCTGCCCCCTGAACCCCCAGAGAGGCGACTAGCAGAAGCAATTGGGGGGGAGAGCCAGCCAATGAGTGGTGCCAGGCCACCAGCCAAGGATGGTGCCAGCAGGGGCCCCCGATCGCCCCACCCGCTAGTTGCCCCACAGATGACCCTGATCACCGGCCAGACCAAGGGACCCTACCCTATATATTGGATTAAAATCTCTTAGATTTAAAAATTAAAACCTGGCAAGGCTACTCTAACATTGAAAAAACAGGATGATGCAGTGATGACATGCATGGACTCTGGCTTGCACATTTTGTAGTCGGCCCTGATTCTGACACTTATAACTGTGTGACAAAGCCAATTACTTAACTTCTCTCTGCTTCAGTTTTTCCACCCATAAGATGGGGAAAATGGTACTACTGTCTCAGAAGGATCATGTTATGTACTACTTTTTATAATCAGGGCAAAAAAATGTAGCTGCCCATACAACAGCAAGATGCTTTTCACCTGTATGAAAAGTATGGTCACTGGTGCATACCGCGTCCTGGATTGCGAGAGGGATGTCTGACTGCTGGTTTAGGCCCGACATCCCCCAAGGGGTCCTGGATTGTGAGAGGGCATAGGCCGGGCTGAGGGATGCCCCCCCCCCCCTCAACGTTCACAAATTGTGTGCACTAGACCTCTAGTGTTGTAAATGAGCTCGTTAGGGTGGGTCATAATCCAATAGGGTGTGCTTTCCAGAAGGGGAACCTTGGACTCAGAAACAGAGGAGTGCAGAGGGGAGAGGATGGTGTGAAGACACAGGGAGGATTTTTTGGCCGTGCTTGCAGCTGCCAGGAGCTAGGAGAGGGGCATGAGATGGAGTCTCCCTCACGCCTCAGAAGGAACCAACCTGCCCACACTCAATTCCAGACTTCCACCTCCGGACTGGGACGCAATACATTTCTGCTGTTTAAAACCCGCAGTTTGTGGCACTTTGGTACAGCAGCCCTAGCAAACGGATGTACCTTCCATCCAGATCTTTAAGAAGAGATGGCCTCTGAGGAATGCAAACACCTGTCTTACTTAGGTTTATAGAGCACAGATCTTGTGCCAAGATGGCTCGGCTCTCTTGGAACGAAGTAAATAACACAAACGGCAGGGCAGCCTCGGGACACAGAGCAGCTGGACGTAAAGAACTGGGCCAAATTTTATCAGTTGCGACTCCCGCCCACAACAGAGGAAACATGAAAAATTCAAGCCTTTATATAGACTTTATGATAACAAAGTTAAATAAATAATTGGCCATACCTATTTAAAAGAGGAGAGTTGAGAAAGTGGGAAATCCGTTAAGTATTGTGCTGGAACCCGGTTCATACAAATGCAAATATAAATGTAAATGCGAACCCCAAAAC